CAGAAAATGCTGCATACCAAGCCACTCCAAACTCAGTGACTTAAAGAAGAAATAATTGATGGTTACATATCTCTAGATTAGCTAAGAATTGGTTGATCTTGGCTGGGCTCTGCTGGATAGCTGTGCTGAGCTGTGCAGGACTTGCTTATGAATCTACAGTTGGCTGATTTCAGTTGGGCTTGATTGGGGTGGTTTAGTCCTGCTCTGTGTATGTCTTATTCTCCTCCTGGAACCAGTGGGCCAATTTTGGCACATTTTTCTTATGGCAACAGGGGCAGAGTCCCAAGAGAACAAACCCAATCAGGCAAACCCTTTATCAGCCTTTAATTATGTAATTCCCACCAATATTAAATTGGCTACGTCATGAGGCTGAACCCAAGGTGAAGGGATGAGAGCAACATTCCACCTTTTTAGAGGAAGAACTGCCAAATCACATAGCAAAGGACATGGACACAGGGAGGGATAAAGAACAAGGGCAATTCATGCAATTTCCTGGACCAGGTAAGAGATTAGAACAGGCAAGTTGAGAGAAAGGGAGTTCACGAGGGTTTGTTTGTTTGCCAAGAATGTGATATCAGCCCAACTGTCTCCAAAACTTGCGTTTGGTCCCTTTCATACCCCAGATCCATACTTGGCTGGGTCCAGCCCCTTCAGGAATTAAGACTGAGGCAGGGGTCCTCTCAGATGCAATGCCTATGAAGCCTGGCTACCCTACTTAGGCTGTTCTAGGGAAAGGGCCACCCCTAGGCCCCTGTCCCCCATCTAGACTCTCCCTAGTCTCTCTGACAGCCCTGCTCTGCCCCCCCAGCCTGCATCACTGAAGGACCAGCTTTCCTTTCTTATCCAGACTGTGTTGATTACACATTCCAGAGATTTGTTTCCCTCCATGTGGGCAGAAACAGCCGCACAATTACTTTCAATCCTGTAAACAGAGGGCTGGGTGGGAAAAGAGGTGCGTGTCTGCAGGCAGGAGGAATCTACTGCTTCTGTCCTCTGAATTCCCTCTTCACCTCTGCACCCACCTCTCTTCTCTTGCTCCGTTCCAGACCATCCACCTTGCATTCTCCAACTGCAGAACAAATAGGAAGGAGATTTAGCCTCTCCAGAGGGCAATCCTGAAGGAAGGAGGCAGAAATGGCCTGTACCCTGGCTGGCCTGACCAGGTGACCTGGGGGAAGTCATCTCCCCTTTATGGATCTCAGTTTCACCCCTATAACATAGTAATATTCATCTAGGGAACATTGCATGTTTATTAACATTGCATGTTATTTTAACAGACGCTTGTATGGTGCTTACAAAGCCCTTTGCAAATATTAACTCACTTAATAATCATAACAACACTTCAAGGTACCGTCATTTTACAGAGAGGAGACTGAAGCACAGAGAGGTTAAGTAATTTTCCCAAGTGCACACAGCTGGGAAATGATCAAGCCAGGGTTTGAACCCAAGCTATTTGGTACCAGAGTCCACATTTAATTACCGTATTATGCTGCTACTTCCTTTCCTGGCGTCTCCGAATTTCTAGAAGTTCAGCAGCCTGGCCTCTTGGAATTATGCCTGTCCTGTGTCCTTTATTTCCTCTGAATGGGTATTGTGGATTAAATTGTGTCTCCCTAGAAGATATGTCCAAGTATTTTTTTTTCTCTAAGTTCTGTGATACCTGTGCAGATCATGCAGGTCTGTTTCATAGTTATACACATGCCATGGTGGTTTGCCGTACCTATCAACCCCTCATCTAGGTTTTAAGCCCTGCATGCATTAACTGTTTGTCCTGATGCTCTCCCTCCCCTCGTCCCCACCCACAGGCCCTGGTGTGTGTTGTTTCCCTCCCTGTGTCCATGCGTTCTCATTGTTCAACTCCCAATTATGAGTGAGAACATGCGGTGTTTGGTTTTCTGTTCCTGTATTAGTTTGCTGAGGATGATGGCTTCCAGCTTCATCCATGTCCCTGCAAAGGACATGATCTCATTCCTTTTTATGGCTGCGTAGTATTCCATGGTGTAAGATATGTTCAAGTCTTAACCCCCGGTACCTGTGAATGTGACCTTACTTGAAAGTAGAGTCTTTGCAGATGTGATCAAGCTGAGATGCAGTCATACTGGGTTAGGGTGGGCCCTAATCGAATGTCTTTATGTGAGAAAGGAAAGGGAGATTTGGAGACAGACATGGAGACACACACAGGGAAGACAGGCACGTGAAAATGTAGGCAGAAGTTGGAGGGACGCAGCTACAAGCCACAGGATGACAAGGATTGCCAGCAACTGCCAGAAACTATGAGGAAGCAAGGAACAGTTCTTCTGTGAAGACTTCAGAGGGGGTGCGGCCCCACTGGCACCTTGATTCCAAACTTCTAGCCCCCAGAAATATGAGAGAATAAATGCCTGTTGTTTTGATCCATCCAGTTTGTGGTCATTTGTTCTGGGAGCCCCAGGAAACTAATACAATGGGGTAAGAAAATCTTGAACCCTTCAAGAAGAGGCAGCTCGAAGCCTTCTCCACTCACACCATTCACATCTCAGGTCCTCTGTCTCCTGCCACCTCTCATGTCCTCTTCACGCCTCGTATCCACTCAACCAGGCTGACGTTGTTCTCCCAGAGAGTTTTGGTCCTAAAATGTAAACTCCAGGCTTGGGACGGATGAGTCAAAAGGATAACCAGTGGATACAGACTTCTGGTCCCATGTTCACTGGGAGACAGGGATCTTGAACTCGTGGGAGACTGAGAATTGGACTTTGGGAGCCTGGGGGTATTTGGGGGTGGTGGGGGTTAGAATTCTAAGTGGCTATGTCCCCAAGACCCGGTCCCCTGTCTCCAAGGAACCAGGACTCTCTGAGCCGAAAAGTGACTCATAGCCACTCTAAGAGGCATGAGGTCGTGTAGCATTGTTGCAAGGGTGCTAGACTTGGGAGTCATGGAGAACTGAGTTTGAATCCCAGCTCTGCCATTTCTTGGCTATAACTACAGGCCAGTCACTTCAGCTCTCAGGTTCAGTCCCCACCCCATACGGAGCAGGGCTGATGATAACTACTGCACTGGGTGATGACGAGGGTTAAATAAAATAATGCACGCAGAAAGGCTTCAGGGAACAGTTGAGTGGGACAAAATCTGGTTGGGAAACTGTGTGCCAGGTTCCTGGAAATCTGTGTCTTACTCATCACTTTCCCCAAGCACTCTCCAAGGCCCGCCTCAAGGTGAACAAGTGTAAGTATCGAACTGAGGGTAAACTTTGTCTCATCCTTGGTTAGTCCTTATATGACAAAGGCACCTTTCCATTACCCAACCAGTCATTTTCTCCTCAGCCCGTGACAGCGATTTTGCTTCTCTCTAGAGGCTGATCCAACACCTCAGCAGGGGTTCGGAGGTAATCCAGGCAAAACAGCCAAGCCTGAGAAGTTCATTTGCCCTTGTCTAGTTCACCTTCCTCTCACCCCCTTCACGCCCTCTGCCCAGCAGTCCCCTCAAATTCCTCCTCCAGAATGTTCTCTAAGGTTCTTTTGCTGGGGCTTCCTTTTCAGCTGTCCAGCACCTTCATAGATGGGGAAGTCCTGGGACTTCAGGTAGCATGTTTCGTGAAGTTCTGGGGGGGACTCGAAACTCTTTTGGAACCCTAAGTTGTCACTCCATAATGGGGAATCAGTGGTTTGTGGACTTCTGGCTAAGATCACACTTCATCTGTTACCCCAGCAGGGAGTTCTTGCACCCCACATGACATCTGTGCTCCCTTTTCCCATTGCGTCCACGCACTACCCCTATCCCATCCTCAGACTCCACTCTCCTTAGGCAGAGAGTCCAGAAGAGGGGCTGACCATCGGTCCCAGATGAAGCCTCCTGTGTGGAGAAGGAGGTAGGGTGGAAAGGTGGCATCAGACAGACCTGGGTTCCAACTTTGGCTCTTCCACGTCCTGTGTGGTCTTAGGAAAGTCATGTCACCTCTCTGAGCTCATATTTGAAATGAACATAGCATATCATCCACCTCCCAGGGTTTGGAACAGAACAAGTGAGATGCACTTCTTCCAGGCCATGTGTGCGGTGCCCAGCACACAGTGACAGCTGTAAAAGGCCAATAAAATGCAGTGGAGTTTCCAGTGTTGGGATCACTGTGAATTTGAATCCCTGCTCTGTCATTTCCTGGCTGTGTACTTTCAGCAAGTCACTCTGCCCCTCCGAATCACAATTTCCCTATAAACCTGAAAGAAAGGCCCTCTTCTTGAGGATTTTTATAAGTCTTAAATGAGTCGTGTGATCACTTGCTCCATCCTGTACCTCTGAAGCATCTCTCAACTTTGAACTCTGTAACTCTAGGCTCTGAATTTAGATTTTGCAGTCCTAACCCAGCCGGCCACTTGGCTTCCTTGGTTATGACAAGCCCCTGGCTCTCTGGGCTACCCAACTTTGTATCTCCAGAGTTCAGACCTCCAGTCTGATGCCTCCAGGAGCTGCACCTAGAATCCTAGCAATTTCCCGTGTGGCTTTGGCATGGCCAGGGGCAGCAAACGATGGCTTGGGACTCTAAGGGTGAACAGGCATGGCCAAAGGCCCCGGCAGAGGACCTGCCCACGACCACGGTCACCAATGCTGTCTGTTCGCTGTACTGTGGCCTTATGGGGGAAAATGGATTGGCAGCCTGTAACACTTGGCTAAAAACTAAACTTGCTGAGGGGGCAGGGAGACATAGAGGGGCCAGCTCCTGCACAGGCAGAAGGTATCCCTGGCCCATGCAGGCTCTGCACAGTGCTGAAATACCCTGGAGGCAGCCCCACTCCCCAGGAAGGAGCTGCCCGCAGGACTGTTATCACTGGCCAGGCCCTTTCCTTCAGCCCCAGCAGGAATTAGCTGAGGCTGCTAAGTGGCCTCCAGCTTTCTCCTGTGCTCTGGAGAAGGGGGAGGGAAGGGCGAGGGGTGGGGAAACAGCACCAGCGGTGTGTGCGTATGGGGTGATTGTCATGGTTACGCTCTGACAAAACAAATGGCTCGGCTTCCTGCAGGCCACCTAAACAGCTATCGCAATGTGGGCATTGATCAAGCCAGCTGCCAGGGCAGCGGGCGCAGGGCTTGGGCACTGGAGCCCAGCCCCGGGCCGCACCTCCAGCAGCGCTGGGTGCAGAAGGCAACCACTGTGGCCGTGGAGAGAGGGAGTGTGTACCTAGACACGTGTGCTTCTGGGGTAAGGTAAGAGCTGGCCCCACTTGTGTGAGGAGGAGAGGCTAGACAAGGGGGCTGCTCTGGGTGGGCAAGGGCACGCATGAGTGTGTGCGTGTGTGTCTGTGGTAAGTTTGTGTGTCTATGTGCATGTGTGTCAGGGTGGGTACACCATGCAGGCACCATGGGGAGGAGCCCAGGATGCCAGGATGCTTCAACATAAGAAGTGAGGGAGCATGGCCACATGTTGCTACTCAGGTCCGGCTTGCTCTCTCTCTCTCTTGCTCTCTCTCTCTCTCTCTTTCTGTCTGTCTCCTCTCTTTCTCTCCCTCGCCACCCCTTCTCCTGCTCCCTCTTCTCTTTCTTGTTTGCTTTCTGTGTCTGTTTCTCTTTTTTCTGTGTGTGAGTCTCTGCATCTCCTCTCTGTGTCTCTGTCTCTCTCCTCTGTCTCTGCCTCCTTCCTCCCTCTCTCAACCTTCCATCCCTGCCACCTGTTTCCACCACCTCCTGGTCAGTCCCCCATCATCCCTCGTCTGTACTCCAGAGCTCTGGGGCAGTCAGGAGCCCTGCAGGGTGCCCACCCCGGCAGCCGCGCTCATGCCTGCTGCCCTTCGGATGCCCGGCAGCTTGTGACCGTCCCCAGAGCCACCGGCCAAACGCACACCCTTTTCTGAGCCCCGCGTCCCTGGGCTTCTGCAAGGTAAGAGGGGAAGGAGAAAAGGTCCCCGGGCAGAGGGAAGCGGCTAGGGGAGAGGAACTCAGCAGCGGGTGCAGTGTGGTGTCTGCTAACACATCAAGCCTCGGCTGGAAGTTCCACCATAACATCTGCGGCAGCCCCAACAGTTCCACCCCGTGCTCCTGCAGTAGCAGCAGGAGGCCTGCGGGGCGGGGGCCAGAACCATTCCCTCCTCTCTTCTGAAGAGCAACAGGCATCACACACCATCCTGCCTCTCCCACTAACCCCGTTCCTTCTTTTGCCTTTTCTTTCTTTTTCTCTCTTTCTTTTTTTTCTTTTTTATCTTTTTCTTTTTCTTTCCCTCTCTCTCTTTCTCTTTTATTACCCTCTCTTTCTCTCTCTCTCTCTCTCTTTCCTCCCTCCCTCCTGTCCTTCCTTACCTCCTCCCTCCGTTTTTTTTTTAAGACTTAGGAAGTAAGTCTTCTCTGCTGGGGCGCAGCCCCTTCCCTGGGCTCACCTGTCTAAACCCAGCCAGCTTATGGGGACTGGACAAGGCTCAAAGGGGTCTAGATGAGCTCTGGTCTTTCTGCTCCTGCGAAGAGGCCATAAGGCCATGAGACTCTGTGGTCAGCTGGGTTGGCCGGTGGGGCTGAGTACATGTGCATGTGTGTGCGTGTAATGCACGCAGGCATATGCTCTTGAAAGGTTTATTAGGGGCCGGGCGCGGTGGCTCAAGCCTGTAATCCCAGCACTTTGGGAGGCCGAGATGGGTGGATCACGAGGTCAGGAGATCAAGACCATCCTGGCTAACACGGTGAAACCCCGTCTCTACTAAAAAAAACAAAAACAAAAACAAAAACAAAAAAACTAGCTGGGCGAGGTGGCGGGCACCTGTAGTCCCAGCTAATGTAGTCCCAGCTACTCGGGAGGCTGAGGCAGGAGAATGGCGTAAACCCAGGAGGCGGAGCTTGCAGTGAGCTGAGATCCGGCCACTGCACTCCAGCCTGGGCGACAGAGAGAGACTCCGTCTCAAAAAAAAAAAAAGAAAGGTATATTAGGGCATGTGCGTGTAAGGGGATTCTCTGGAGGGTGGTGACGTGTATCACGTGAACTACATGAGTTGGTAAGCGGGTCTGTGGTGTGTGTATATAAATGTGTTTACATGTTTGTGGGTGCATGTGTGTTTGCTGCTGTGCAGGGATTTAAGAGTGCAGGGACATGCATGTGTATGTGTGCACACGTGTGCACAGGCAGAGGATTGTGACTTGAACTTGATCCAAAGGTTGCTGGGCAGGGTCCCCAAGGTCTGATGTGTGGCTGCGGGGCCCTCATCACCTCACCCAGCCTTGGCTGGCATCTGTCTCCAGGAATAGTGCTTCGGTTGTCTCCAATCCAGCCCCATCCAGGTGATGGTGCAGGGCTGGTGGTCACCGTGCCTGGGTAGGTGGCCTGTAGACCCCAATGCCTTGCTGGTCTGAGATGAGTCAAGGCTCCTGACCTGGAAATGGCTCAGGCTCTGAGCAGCCTCCTTGGCCCTAGCTTCAGGATTAGGAAACTCTTATATGTGACCTCACAGAAAAGGAGCTAAAGACACCCCCAGATCTGGGCCAGACACAGCTCTCAGAAGGGGCTCTAGACATTGGCCATTAGGCTGTTAGTAAAGTTGTCCTGGCTGGAGGGAGGAGGTAGAAGACAGGGAGCCCCACCCAGGGTGATGACACCGGTGTTCTGTTCCAAGGGGCTAGGACACCCACTCAGACATCCCAGTGACCCCCACTCACCCATCCCCGCGGTCCCCACTCACCTGACAGCCCCTGGGCCCAGAGGGAAGAAGCACCTTTGTGCTTACTCTGTCTCACTCATTGCGACTTTGCTCCAGACTCTGCTCCGAGCCAGCACCTTCACTGACTGGCTGGCCTCTCATTACCAGACAATGATGCAAATGCTGGTTATGGCTCTGTGAGAGGCCAGGTCCATGAGGGCAAGGGACAGCCCTGAAGAAGGAAAGGCAGTGGAAGAGGCACCCAGAGGCTCAGGGGCAGCACTCCTCCAGGCCGCTGGCCTGGATTCCTTTTCGGGTCCTCTCTGCTGAATACCTACCTGGGTTTCTCTCAATACCCCTGGTGGTTCCCTGTACAACACAACCTCGAGTGACCAATGACCAGGCAATGCAGACATAGGGTTCTCGTAGTCTCACAGGCATCCTGGGAAGGGGCCTGAGCAAGGCCAAGAAGAGGGTCACCTAAACAGGAAACTGACAGACATCCCTGGGGGAACTGGCGAACAGCCCAGTGGGGTCACTGGACTGAGTATGACTCCAGGTCACCGGGGGTGCACAAGTCCTCCATCCTATGAAACCCTCTGGGTTCCTGGATTCCTTAGGGAGAGGGGATTGGGATCAGGAGTGTTCTGTGTGGGGCTAGGCAGGCTTCCTCAAGGAGGTGATGCTAGAGTGCGGATTTGGAGGAAGCCACGGATGGATGTGGCTATGTGGGTGGACATAGAGGAGCAAGGAAGTGTTTCCCACATGACCAGAGCGTGAGTACAGGCAGGGCTGGGAGGGGCAGGAGGTCTTGGTCGATCAGTGTCAGTTTGAATCAACAGACAAGAAAGGGTGGAAATAGGGAAAGGAATGAAAACCACTGGATCACTGGGTGCCCACTTCATGCCGGGCTCTGGGCGGCATGTTGGGTCTCTGTTCTCAAGAGGCTTGCAGTCTCAAGTGGGGAAACCAATGGTCATCAATTACCCAAGCTTATGCAAAATAGCACTCAGGAAAAGAGCTCCTGGATTTGAGACACAGAGGCAAGGGCTGAGTCAGAGGCATATCTTTGTTGAGTCAACTGCTTATGCATTGAAGCAGGGCAGGGCAAGCTTGAACCTGGAGGAATTTTTGTCTTCAGCATCTGGTCACTTGCCTCCCTGTAGTCCTGGCCCCAAGGATGAGCCTGCAAAAATAGCAGAGAAGGAACAGTTAGACATGGGGGTGGGGGAAAGAGGGACAAAGAGTAGTACCTAGTTTCTTCCTTGTCTTGTGTCATTCCCTTACCTGGTGCCTTCCTCATGCAGTTTTATTTATTTTTTAAGTATTTATTTATTTTTGAGATGGAGTTTCACTCTTGTTACCCAGGCTTGGAGTGCAATGGTGCAATCTCGGCTCACTGCAACCTCTGCCTCCCGGGTTCAAGCGATTAACCTGCCTCAGCCTCCCAAGCAGCTGGGATTACAGGAATGTGCCACCACGCCTGGCTAATTTTGTATTTTTAGTAAAGATGGGGTTTCTCCATGTTGGTCAGGTCGGTCTCCAACTCCTGGCCTCAGATGATCCACCCGCCTCAGCCTCCCAAAGTGCTGGGATTACAGGCGTGAGCCACCATGCCCAGCCTCCCATGAGGTTTTACTAATCTCTACTTTACAGATGATAAAACTAAGTCTTGGAGAGCTCAAAGAGCTAGCAATAGCAAACGGCAGCGCCACCCTCTAGAAGAGAACTTAAGACCATTCCATGCATGGAGATTGTTACAGCAGGATTTAGCTGAGCAAAGCTGGATCCTAGGGTCCCAGAGGAAGGAGCAATCACTCCTAGACAAAGGGGTGGGGAAAGGCTACATGGAGGAGGTGGGTTTGAAAGAACCCAGCAGGATGAGTAGATTTCCAAACCCAGAGATGGGATCACAGGGCTCTGGGTTGAGGGAGGAACATAAACAAGGGTGCAAAGTTAGGGCTTACAGATGTCTGGGGAATAGCACATATTCTAGTTTGGAACACAGAGTCAGAGTGCAAGAGAAATATGGAATCAGGCTGCAAAGGGGAATTGTGAGGAGAAGCTTAATTTGACATGAACAAGACAGGCTTAGTTAACACAATGAACAGTCACAGAGCAGGGAAGCACCGTGGTCAGATCAAGATCTCAGGAAGAGACATTAACAAAGGTAGAGAAATTAACAAACCTGAGAAATTGAAATCTCACCTCTTGAATCCTCACTGGGGTCTGGAGGGATCCTAGTCTCCAATCTGAAAACCATTTGCTAGATCATACATTGTGTATCTTCCTAAGGCAAGGGTCCCAGGGTGTCTCAGCACAAAACTCTTCTCCCTATTCCCATGACCACACTGAGGATCAAACTGCTGGGCACGGGACTCTCTGCCAAGAGGTTCCTTCCATGGGTGCCACTGTGGAGACAGAGGCAGGACCCAGGGCTAGGGCAGGAAGCTGGAGTGATGGTCCCAACCCAGCCTAGAATGTGGCCACTGGGAGAGTGGCTGGAGGGCAGGAGATGGGTCTACCTGGTTCACCGTAGTATCCCCACTTCTTTATTCAGGCCCCATGAAGGGGTCTGCTTAATCATTATCT